CAGCTGTGCCCCATAGGTGCACCATTCTGCGTTTTACAGGGACAATACCGTCTCTGACATGTTGTCATATGGTATGTCTGTACATGTCTGTTAGCACTGAAATGTTAGGTTTCAGTACAAAAACACTGAAAGCAGTAGGGGATTGTGAACAGGAACGACTGATTTGTTCACCCACAAGCTATAGACAATATTATAGACCCAAACATAGACTGCCAGAAGAGTCTGTCTGACACTTCAGCACCATGGATTAATCGATACACAGCCTAGTTAGGCTACTGATACTAAGATCAAAGACAAGTACAATTCTCTACCTCAGTCAGATAGTCAGTCAGACTAAACCAACATATTAAACGTAATAACCCTTCTGCCACTCTACAATTGGCAAGGTCTGCCAATGCAAATCTCACCGGAGCTACAGATTTAACCTTTGGTGCAGGTGGGATTGGATGATCAAATAATAATTGGTGTCCCTGAGAGCTACAGGACATGAATATGAAGACCATTTTTAGTGGATCACCAATGTCCGCAGGGTTCATATTTTGGGGAACTCAACAGACCGATCAACCTAAGCTTCCCTAGAGCCATGCGTGTGGCACAGCTAAACATGTGTCATGTCACTCAATACCTGAGATACAGGTCAACATGGAACTGGTTTGCTAATTTGCTTTTACGGTTTGCTAATGCACAGACACAATGTCAAATATAAAAGTATTGTACTTAAATAATTGCAACGCTCTGAAGTGAGAACATTGGAAACAATAGGTGAGAAAAAACAAAACTTTCGGGTGAAAGAGTTAGAAAAGCTGTTACTTAAAACATTAGCGGAATTCTTTCTTTTCTTGTGGTTTGTTTAAGTATAAACAGGAAAGTAAGAAATGGATTGCTTCAATTAAAAAGGACCCATTACTGTGCCACAGCAAGAGAAAAACAGTTGTAATTGCTAACGTTAATGATGCTGCAACTCTTTGCAGTGTTGAAGCCCGCTCCAGCAGCCTGCTATAGCATTGCTTAATGATATGGATTACTTTGACACTTAAATGAAACGGACATGGTTGCTGTAATTAGTGACACATGTCACATGTGTCACTAATGTGAAGCACATGTGACATGTGCTTCACCTGCTATGACAAGTCATAATGTCAGCAGTGAAAAAGGCCTGTATGTTATGATATATGGTTATGGTGATAGAAAATGGCAGGTGGACAAATACGATGTGATACACGTCCCTGCTAATGGTTTCACGATATTCCCTGTGGCAATGAGCCAGAAAAAGGCAATAAAGACAGCAAACAAGTAAACATTAATGTAAATTATGCTCTTTTGTTTCAGGGCTGTTGCAATGCAATGCACTGGATGGCTTTCAACTGATTTAGTCAAAGCAGCACAAAACTTTGAATCAGTTTTCTTTTTAGCAATGTAGATATAAATCTCATAACAATGGATCAGGTTTTTCCTCTAAACTTTGCTTAGTCATTTATACAATTTTAATGGTCGCTTCCAACTCTGTAAAAGCAATGAAGATTTCATTATAGGAAGTTGGAAAATAAGGTAAAACTTTTAAAGAGTTGAAGAATCCAATGCATTTGCAATACTTGAATTGGTTCAAGGCCATTTATACTTGGCAGCTACTTTTAAGAACACTTAACCCGAATAAGTGAGTAAGTGAGGGCGAACCAGAGGCAAAGGAAGGGAGGGGGGGACACACATTGTCCTCCTGAGGGTGGCCCCCAGATTTGGAATAGGAGAAGTTTCCAAAGACAAATATTGTTAGAGCCAGTATTTTGTTTTTTTAAGAAAGGCCACCTAATTGTGACATCTGTAGTCAACACACTATAAAAGACTACAATTCTCATGGCGCCTCCTGTAAAGTGACAGTGATGGGCAACCTGCTAGAAAGACGCCGTTGAGGAACAGTTTTTAACCGTCCATTTACCCTTTAAGTTATTTAAGCCTTATCAAAAAGAAAGAAAACCTAAGTTGTTTGTTATTTTATTTTATTTTAGTTTTGACAATTGTAAAGGCCTCTTTTCTTTGTTGCATGTGTAAAAGTTTGTTTGTTTGTTTGTCGGAGGCCAAGCAAAGCTATGTGTGTGGGAGAGAAACTTTGGGATTTCAGCCTTTGCAACACACTACAGGGGAGGGAAACCCACCAAAAGAGATTGGGCCTCTTCAAGTGATTGACAGCCTCATTAAAAATAGGTACTACTAATTATATTCTCATAATAACAGAATAGAAAAACTGAAAAAAAGGTAAAAATAATAATAACTGTAAATACACTATATCTACAGCCCTTCTGAAAAACATTAAACAAGAAAAACATTACCTGAGTGATAAAATGCTCCCAATTAAAAAATAACAATGGTAATAATAATTTGTTTCTTAATAAGTTGCTTTCTATCTTGAAGGTCACATGAATTTTCATTTACAGCCTTGTTTGTAATGATTAAGTACAGTGATGCTGCTTTGCATAGTAATGGCTAATAACAGGGGAGTGCCTTTGCTTACATTTCCAGGTGCACTCCTGACCCCTGTCATTGTTTAATCGAATGTAAAGATAATAAATGCCGTAGAGATGCGGCTTTGCATCCATGAGCATCACAAACACTGATCTGATGCAGAAACACACACACACACACACACACACACACACACACACACACACACACACACACACACACACACGTTGGAGAGTACGTCACACACAGCCCTACAATCTTGTACCAGTCGCAGCTTTTTTCCAATCCCTCCCTATCCCTCTTGTTGATGTAGTCATTACGTTTCCCTTGCGGGCGACTTTGGATTTTTTGTATTACTTTTTTCGTATTATTTACACTGAGGCTCGTTATTGCTTTTTGTGTCAAACAGACAAGTGGGGACGCTGCCACATCTGCCTCCCGTATGTTAACTCTGTAGTTTATGCGCTGTTTTCTCATTCTGTAAAGCTGTTGTGTTCGAGTCGAGTGCGCTCTCAGAGAAGTGCCCCACTGAACCCAGACAGAAGCTGAACATGTTTGTTTGTTTTTCTTGTTTGGACTGTTGCAGTCAGCTCAACATCAGTAATGATGATAACACGGTACCTCAAATATGTTTTCCCATGTTTATGTCATTTGAAAATCATTAGGCTTGTTGACTATGATGCTTCTTTGTTTGGTGATTGTGGATTGTATTATACAGCCGGGTGAGACCTGTCACGATCTGTCTGTGTTTTATTTTTGTCCTGTGTAGATCTGTCTTTTTGGTTTCCTGTTTTCATTTGAAAAGCGTTCAACCCTTTGTTTGTTTGATTAGTCCTGTGTGCATTTAGATTCTGCTTTTTCTGTTAGTCGTTGTGAGATTTTTTGAATGTGTTCACAGGTGAGAGAGTTCTGCTCTGTATGTTTTGTATCCTTGAAATAAAGGTATTTTTTCAGTTAAACCTGCATTTGGGTCCTGCCTGCTTCGCTCAACCCTGACAGAAGGATCTCACCAAGAATGGACCCAGCAGACAGCCTGTACGAGGTCACGTACAATTTAATTTGCTTTAAAAATGACTGTCGATATGCCTCCAGTAGAGAGGAGAGGCAGTCTATTATCTCTACGGCACGCCAAGAAGTAACCTCAAGGCCCTTAAAGGACTTACTACCCGAGTGGATGGAGGACTTTTTCGGTAGCTTTGAGGTCAAACCTGTTTCCCGGCCTGCTGGCTCCTGGCATGCTAGCCCCCGGCATGCTAGCCCCCTGCCTGCCACAGTTCCCAACAAGGCTCCTTTCGAGGATCCTTACGCTGGGTCTCGTCTGGCCTTAGGAGGACCTCTGAGCCTCCGCAAGGCTTCAAGGCAGCATGGAAGGAAACGCAAGGCCAGGATTCCAGTTCCGGCCCCAGCTGCCATGGTTCCGACTTCAGTTCCAGCCCCAGCAGCCATGGTTCCGGCTCCAGTTCCGACTCCAGTACCGGCCCCAGCCATCGGTTGTATCGGAGCTGTCCCGATCCGGCCGCCTCTTTGCCCGTCTCAAGCCCGTGCCCCCTGATTCCCCAGCCCCTTTCCCTCGAGCCCGGCCCCTAAATTTACCCGACAAGGCCTTCGGTCCCTCTGAGTTTCCCCGCCGCAGGACTTCCTGCTCTGTTGCTTGCCCCCGGGCCGTCCGCACCGAGAATATATCTATTTTATTTGTATTGATACTTGCACATCTCAAAACATCTCTTGCATTAGTTATAGTGGTTTTATTTTATAAAAACACATATTATATTTATATTTACTAATATAAGATTAAGGCATAAGGTGAGGGTATATGATTACAACCTTGAGAACAAAATATCGTGGTCCTGCCGAACACTGATTTTTGTAAACAAATTAGATTTTGAGTCATCAACTAAAGTCATGTGGATACTGATTGGTTTAATGTTCAATTTCCAACAATCATCAACTCTGGAATCAATATGATCAGTATTATTGCTTTTACAAAGAAGATTGCATTACGATTTCTAGGAATTGTATAAATTGAACTTTGATAAAAAACATTCACTTTTATTGATTCATTGTGGAAAACCCTCAAGAAATATTTGTTTAAACTCTATTTAGGAGAAGGGAAGGAAAACAATCTAACAGGTTAATATAATACTATTTGCTTCAAGTGGATTACTATATTTCGGTAGTGAACATTCTTTGTAGAGAAGAACATTCCAATACAGTCTGAAAATATGAAATAAAAATGCACGGTTATTTTTACTAGATTTAATTTATAATGGTAGAACATTAGATATAACAGTACGACAAAGTTTTGGGAAGAAAACATAGAAATACATTTCCAAGACTGACTTTGAACCAGTTTGGTTGAATGTCCCCTGTGTTGTTTCATCCTGGCTCTTCCCCTACCATAGACATGACGGCAGTCGTTGAGTGTGAGAAGAGTCCAACGTCCTCCCTTGGATTTGACCCGTTATGAGAGCACACCCGGCACTCTCTTTGCATTGGAGACGATCTTTCAATTTGTCATTGTACAAGTACAACGCAATTACAATATGAACTCCAAGTGCCAATACATCAACAACAAGAAATATAAAAACCAAGAAATGGGAACTCTGAACCACGGAGGGGGAGCGCTGAGCGTAGGAACATGATGTCCTGTGGCCTACCCTCTACAGCGCTGTCTGTAAAAGTCCCTGTGTGCTTTGCCCTGTGGGTAGTTCTTCAACGGCCATTAGCAGCCTAAAACATGTAACCCACCAACCACCAGGTCCGTAGGCAATCTATAGGAACACTAGAAACGCTCAGCAGATACCACTCACCGTATGGATGGCTGAGGAAGACTTCATTTCTCTTTGATGTTTTTGATCTAAATGGGATGTTCTCGTGTTTCTGTCACACATATACTCCCCATAATGTAATGGATCACCTTTCCTTTAATGGCACATGCAATTCTTCCATGTGTTTGCCACTATAAATATATCTAAAGTTAAACATGTCCTTATTGTTGCT